AATAAGGAAGACCATAGAAGAATTGATGCCTTTGAGTTATGGTGTTGGATAATATTGAAAGTGCCATGGGCTGCCAAAAGAACAACAGATCTGTGTTGGAAGTACAGCCAGAGTGCTCCTTGGAGGCCAGGATGGCTAAACTTCATCTCTCATACTTCAGACATATTGTCAGGGGGAACCAGTTGCTGGAGAAGGCTATCATGTTTGGTAAGGTGGAGGGTCAGAGAAAGAGGAAGACCACTAGCAAGATGGATTGGCAAAGTGGCAGCATCAAGGGGCTCAAGTGTGGCAACAATTGTGAGGCTGGCCAGGGACCAGGCAGTGTTTCGTTCTGTTGTGCATAGGGTCGCTATGACTCTGTACCGATTCAATGGCACTGACAATGGACTCAACAGCACTTAACAACATGGTTCACCACATTCATGAGTATATACATGAATACAGTTGCAGCATAGGAAAATACCCATGTAGAAATATCCTGTCAAATTTACATAAGATGGGGCTTCGAAAGTGTCATGGAAAAATTCCATGATCTTTAATTCAATTTGCTCACAAACTTTTTGAAGCATCTCTTCATACAGGTTGTTGTTAAGTACCGTGGAGTTGGTTCCGACTCAGTGACCCTGCACAAGGTTTCCGAGGCTGTAAATCCTTACGGGAGCAGAAAGCCTCATCTTTCTCCCGCGGAACAGCTGGTAGTTTCAAACTGTAGACCTTGAGGTTAGCAGCCCGATTCGTAACCACTATACTACTAGAGCTCCTTACCTTCATACATACAGACACTTAATTTTTTTTCTTTCTGTTCACTCTCTAGTACCTTCTGTCATCCTTGAAATAGAAGGGCAGAGGAAAGGCATTCCAAGTGCCAAGGCCGAGTTAGCGTTCCCTCTAGCTCTGGCCTAGCAGATACACACCCACTAGGGTCCTCTTCCCTCCAAGTCAAAGCACAGGGCCTAGTCAGATCAGGAGAGATAATCTGAGAAGCAAATTCATGCTCAAGGGTTCATGGTAGCCAAGCTGACCATTTCTTGGCAAATCCTTTTAATATTTAAAACTTGGTAGGAAAATGAGACTATTTCTAGTCAGGAGGAGTCCTGGTGAGACAAACACTGGGACTGGTATTCACAAGGTCAGCAGTTCAAACCCGCTAGCAGATCCTTAGGAGAAAGATGAGGTTTTCTGCTCTTATATAGAGCAAGGGCTCTGGGAAACCCACATGGGTTGCTACAGTTGGAATGGACTCGATAGCAGTGGGTTTGTTTTGACATTCCTAGTCAGTGTCTTCACATGCTCCAATATCATATCATTTGATTTGAGTCCACAGATTTTAATGACAGCTTTGGTAAAATTCCTAAGGATCCTTCCCTTGCTTACCTTAAGGGTTCTGAATGTGTAGGCCTGTGGAGGGTAGAGTGTGCTAGATTCTGGCCCAGCACCACTCTCCCTTCCTGCTTGGTAATGCTGAGCACCTACAGTCTGTCTCCTATTCTCCATCTGTGAAACGAGCCAAAGGCTCAAAAGAATCCACAGGATTTGCATTCCCTGTGAGGTCCTTCCTGGAAACAAGCCACCTCGACGGCACTGTCTCCAACTCTCTCCCACAGCCCCCACAGCCTCTACATATGAAGGTGTTTCAAAAAGTTTGTTGAAATATCCCATTTTCTTTTAATTCCATGTTTCCACAAACAGTTTGACGTTCACTCATTTAAATTGCTTTCTTCAGGTCCGTCTTTCCCCGTCTCTTCAGACATCCTAATTGCCCTGGCGGACGTCAGCGGCCACCTCTAGTGCCCCTACATTTCTATCATCTCTTCCTACTTTTCTCTTCAACATTGGGCCCAAGTTCCACCTACCTGGGCACTGCCACTATCTCAAGGAATTCTCCCTAGTTCAACTTCTGATGTTGCTTCTGGAAATGTTGGAACCCTAGCAACTGAAAGGGAAGCCTGGTACAAAACAGGCCACTAGGGCCTTGAAATGCTATGGGGCATAGAAGGAAAGTCTTGGCCAGATCCATGTCCCAGGATTCCAGTGCCTGGCTGGCACTGGACAAGTCTTTTAGCATCAATGAGTGTGCTTTATCTGTAAAATGAAGGCCAGACAAGTTCAAGGATCCCCTCTAGTTCAGAGGAGCTTGGCTCATGTGACCTCAGTGTCCAGCTACCAACCTCAAGAATGAGAATGCCAACAGTGGAAAGGAGACATAAGCATCCCTGAGTCTTGAGTGCCAGGGATGACCAAAGGGCCACTCTTCCTCCTTCCTCTTTTCCACCTGAATAAGGAACAGATGTCTCTAAGGAACATGGCCTATAATGACATAGGGAAGCGGTCAAATGGAATTTTTACAGCTTCCAGAAGGAAATGCTATACCTATGTGGGAGAGTGACAACGCCAGAACCCATTCACATACCCTTCCCTCTGGTCCAAGAGTCAGAGGCGCAGCACCCACTGCACCCAAGAGCCTGCAAAAGTTGGACAACCCCATCTGTAACTACCTCTGCCTTTTGGAAGAGAAAGTAGGTTTAGGAATTAAAAAAAGAGGCAGGTCCCCACTGATTACAGCAAACACAGCACAGCGACTGCTGCCCATTAGAACATTTATTTCTCAGAGAGAAAATAAGTTTCAGACAGTCATATTATAGTAGGTAAAATTAACTTTTGTATTCTTTACAAGCATAGATTTTTCTGTTTATTACCTCTCTTATACCATCTGTTATAAACAATTCTAGAAAGCAAATAAAGTCACTTTCTACAATAAATAGAGCATCATGTGCTTCACAGCAGACGCGACAGAGACACGTAGGCCCCATGCCACAGCAGGATCTGAGCCATTTCCCGTTCTAAAAGAGCATTTTTAAAAATGAGACTCAGAGAGACTGAAAGATTCAGAAAGACTGAAAAAGAGAGAGAGAAAGCTTCAGGGAAGAAAGGGGTAGGTAGACATAGAAATAGAGAAAGGGTGTAAACCCCAAGATCTTAAAACACAGGTTTAGACACAGGTCACAAAGTCCACAGCTGACCAACTACCTGGGGGGAAGGGGAAGCATTGGCTCCTTTAAATAAACGACACTGTGTGCATTCAAAATACGCAGCCACACAATGGAGGACTCCAGAAATGGAAACGATAGGCCTGAATAATTTAGAACAGTATTTTACAATTATATACACCATGTCCTTTCCTACCCACATGCTCTACTGTATTTTGATTATTGTAAAAAATCCAAAACCCCATCCTTTATGCTACCGATGGTTGTGCTGGATTCCTTTTTAAACTCTGGCTCATGTCCCAAATACGTAAGAAGTTGTGGTGGTTGGTTGGTAGTAATTTTTAAAAAGTCAAGCACATAAAAATGGCAGTGATCCTCCCTAGCAACTTCATTTTGCCCAAACTCCCCTATGACGAAATTTAACTAAAAAAGAAAAAGAAAACAAAGGTCAGGTCAAATATCAACATAGTGATCAGTGGCCGGAAACCTGGCCCTGCAACTTTGGTGCTTAAGAGGTGAAAAGAAACACCCAGAGAGACAGACACTGAAGCCTCTGAAAGCTGTGATGGTTTGTCAGTTAGCATTCCTCATTCACAGCTGTTCTTGGTTCCCTCCGTTTCTGAGCCAGTGACCATAGGGAAGGGGTAAAGGAGGGAGGAAAGGGGTAGGAGGGTTCGAAACAAAAGTGTGGCATTCCCTGGAGTTTCAAGGTGGGAGCAGCAAAGGTTGGGCAGGGCGAATGCAGGACAGGACGATGCTGACCGAGGCACTAGGCCAGCCACGGTGGTGGAGTGGTGCTTAAGGATGCTTGTTGTTGTTGTTGTTATGTGCCGTGGAGTTGGTTCCGACTCATAGCGACCCTGTACAGGGTTTCTGAGGCTGTAAATCTTAATGGGAGCAGAAAGCCTCATCTTTCTCCCATGGAGCAGCTGGTAGTTTCGAACTGCTGACCTTGCGGTTCACAGCCCAATTCATAACCACTACGCTACCAGAGCTCCTTAAGGATGCTTAATGGTATAGAAGAACAAAGGCCCACCAGGAGAGGATGGGAGGGGGAGGGGGAGGGGCAGACCCAGCTAAAGGTCCACCAAAGAGCAGTTCCACCCCAATCAGCCCTCAATATCCAGCAGACTGATGGACACTCCCATGAGCAGCATGGTCTGGTGAGTCTGTCCGTCAGCCTCAGCCCACCCTCAGCAAAGTCAGGAGAAGGAGGGGCCTCACCTGCAGTCTGTGGGGGCAAGTGTTCACAACTGTGGGTTTGTAACAGATGTGAAGGTCATGGGGGGTACGGTTGAGGGGGAGCTGCTGGGGGAGACCAGGTGGTGTGCTGGCCTCTGTCCTGGATCCTGAATTGCCAAGTGGAGACACCCACCTAACATGGCCGCTGGACTCAAGGGAAATGAGACATTAAAGAGAAAGATCATTTTAGGATGGTTTATGTCCATTTGGCACAAGAGAAAGTAAGGAAAGGACCATGGGGAAGACCATGGGACAGAGTATGAGAGGCTGAGTGCAGGAGATAAGACGGGGAGAGTGAGAATTGGTGACAACAGGGGAGAGAAAGGGTGGGCTCAAGGGTGAGCTCAGTGAGGCTCCCCACAAGACCCTAGTGTATCCACAGCACCTCTGGGATCAATGTCAGAGCCTCGCCCGCCCTGAGGTGGAGAGGGTCAGGCAGCCCCTTATAGAGGAGCCCAGGGCCCCCTTTCCTCTGGGCCAGGTCCATCTCCTTGGCTGGGCCCAGATCCCACAGCGATTTCTACTTGTACTGGTTCTTCAGTGGAGTATTCCCCGAAGGACCTTGGGTGGGAGTTTTTGGCACATAGCAGACCTACCAGGAGAGCCATGCGGTTGGTCAAAGCTGGGGCCTGGCTCTTGGGGAAACACAGCCCCAGTCCCTGGCCTGCCATAAAAGGGGGAAGCTGCCGGCCACACATCTGGCTGAGGCAGGAAGAAGTATCTCTGTACCCCATGGGATGGAGGCAGGGCAGGCAGATGCAGGCCCTGCCCTCACAGGTAGCTGGAGGTGACGAAAGAGTGTGGCCCCCGAACACGGCTCAGGTGGATCATTGCACGGTCATAGGCCACCTGCACCGACTTTCGGATGCTGGTCTTGCGACCTTCCAGCATCTTGAGCTTGTCCACAGTGTCTTCCACACCTAGAGGCAGGACTTTGTCTCTTGGAAGCCACTGCCTGAAATAGAACCACAGTAAGAGGTCTAGGCCATTGCAGGTCCCGTTGTGGGGGAAGGGGAGAGGTGCTTCTTGGAACGCACTGGTCAAGGAGGGGTCGGGCAGAGGGAGGTTGGGATACCCTAGCAGGAAGCCATCAAGCAGGTATGGGTAGGGAGACAGCAGCTTGGGTCCTGGCTCTGCAATTAAGTTCTTCCCTGGGTCCAGCATTCAACCCCTCAGTTTGGAGGGTTACTGGGGCCCAGGAGCAAGTAGAGACCCATCTGCCACCCTCTAGGACTGGCTGAGCCCTCATAGAGGGCTCTGGGCCTCACCCAGCTGGGGGAAGCAGGGAGCTACAGCTAGGAAGTGGAGCTGGTGCCAGGAAGTGATGAACTGATCTCTGGTGGGGCCTGCACCCCATTTTGTGTGTGTGTTTAAAGCTCCTCAGGTCAATCTAAGGTACGGTTAAGTGCACAGTCTTTGGAGCCAGGTGTTAGCCTATATCCCAGTTCTGGCTTTCAGGTCTTGCCTTTTTGCACATTTTTCTAATTTGCAAAATGGATTGAGGAAATGAATGAGCATTAAATGAGATCAGTATGTAAAGCAATTTGCAAAAGGACACAGAGAAAGCACTCAATAAATGGTAGCTGCTATCATCCCATCATCATTACCCTAATTTTCACTTGCTAGTTCTATCTCCTCATTTGCAGAGGCAGGGGTGAAAAGTACTATGGAAAACTTGAAGGTGTTGGTAAATCAAGAGCAAGTGAGGACCTTGTAGTGGACAGAGGGAGCCATTTGAAGCAGAGACACTCACTCCCAAAGCTACCAGGAATGCCGGCAGCTGGCAGGCTCTCAACTAAGTTCCTTTGGGAATTGCCCTCCACCTTTAAGTTCCTTTGGGAATCGCCCTCCACCTGGTACCTCCACAGGGCAGCTGGCATTCAGTGACTAGCTAGTGTGGGAGAACAAAGACACAAACCCTATTCCAGACACCTCTATAGGGCCACCCCACTTCAGAGCTCCCTGTAGGATCAGCTGAGGCTCTGTTTCAAATATGTTCAGAGGAAGTTCAACTTCCTCTGCCCCGTGCTGTGTGTTCCTCAGCCCTCAACAGGTTTTGATTCAAGAGTTCTCCCCAATAAACCTCTTCATACAAACATCATTGCAGAGTGTATCCCTGACCTGCCACCTCTCTTAGTTACCACAACATGGCATGTGCACCTGGTGGAGACCAGGGGTGACTGAGTCCATACCTCTATGTATCTTTAGGGCCCCTTAGCATAGGAGCAGCCTCCCAATCTGGGCCCCTGAGCCTGCACCTGGCACAGGCCCTCCCCTGGCAGCAACACACTTACCAGGTACGCTTGTTGTCAAAGAAGAGGACAAGGAAGAGCTTCTCTCCAGCCTCTGCCTGTCTCTGCTCTCCCAGCTTCAGCACATCCAGCGGGGGGACTGGGATGGGAACACCATTGTGCAGAAGGCCCTCCCGGGGCATCTTGGGATCGATGATCTGGAGGTAGGAAAGGAGAGGGGCATTTAGTGTGGGTATGGCACCCTAGGCCAGGACCAATTCCACTTTTCCACACCAAAGCTACACAAGAGCTCAGTCCTGCCCACAGCCACATAACAGAGGGGTTGACTTTTTGTAGGATCCCAATGATGGAAATCTTCACTCTCTTTCTCCAGTTCATTGTCAGGATCCTCGACCAGCCCTGCCCAGGCAGTCTTCAGTGAGAGGGCACTCTGCTCCATGAACAATCAGGTCCTAGGCTGACACAGAGGTAGTGGGAAGTCTGACATTTGGGCCAAATAGGCAAACTCCTTCCCCCAATGTCCTTTGGAACACAGTGAAAGTCATTTTTCCTGACAATTTCCCTTTGAAATTTCCCAATCTAGCTCCAAGCTCAGGGGCTCACCAGCAAACGAGCCTATTTCTTTTGTTTGCCTTCCTGCCTAACTACAACTCTTCCTGGTGTGTGGGCCATGTGGATACGTTTGTGACACCTCTATGGTAAATCAGGAGGTTCCACTTATCCACCAAGATCAGAGAGAAGATTGAGCGCAGAGGGTCGCTGGAGATGGGGAAGGTGTGGTTGGAAAACAAGAGCCACTTGTGGATTACAAACTTGCAAGGCAGGCGCTGGACCCATCCATTCAGCACCATGGAACACTCTGATAATTAACAAAGTCCATAATTATTCACACATGAGCATCTTACTGGGAGGAGGGGTGGGGAGAGCCCACCCTTGTCTGTGCTGAGAAGTTTGTGGGGTAAGTATTAGCTGACAGAGGTTAAGTGCCAGGCACAATACAAGATGTAGCAGGCTGAATGAAGCCAGGGCTAGGACTAAAATCAGTCTCCTGGACAAGGTGAGGACCTCTGCTGACTCCTACACAGCCCTTACAGAGCAGCTGGCAGATGATCTCTGCGCATTAAGACCAGAGAGACTTGAATACTTACTGAGGAAGCAGCCTCCTCCAGAGACTGAGCAATCTTAATTCCTATGCCCGTCCCCAAGGGGCCTCTTCTCACAACAAACTGACTTCATTATTTACCTTTGGATGCCTACCAGCTTCCTTACATTCCTCTCAAGATAAGCAGCTGAAAGCAGGTGCTCTGATTAAGATTTTAAGGAAGAACCATTCCCACCCCACCCTCCACAGCTGTGTGATTTGATCAAAACTCTAGTTTGTCAGTCCAGGGCTTCAAACCGGTTCATTGCAGTTCAACTCCCTGTGAATTTGCATTTCCACTCCAGGTATGTTATTGTTAAGTGCTACTGAATCAGGTCAGACTCGTAGTGGTTACGAATCGGGCTGAGAACCTGAAGGTCAGCAGTTGGAAACTACCAGCTGCTCCGCGGGAGAAAGATGAGGCTTTCTACTCCTGTAAAGATTTATACCCTCGGAAACCCTGTACAGGGTCGCTATGGGTCGGAACCGACTCGACGGCACTTAACAACAACAACAACTGAATCAGTTCAGACTCATAGGGACCCTGTATAGGGTTTCTAAGGAGCCGCTGGTGGGCTTGAACTGCCTACTTTGTGGTTCACAGTCTAGTGCTGATCCTACAGTGCCAAACCAGGAGTTCAACCCACTGTGAACCTGCATTTTTCACTCCAGATATCTACATTTTAACAAGATCTCCAAGTATACAAAAGAAATTACCTGGGGATCCTGTTAAAATGTAGATTCTGATTTAGTGAAAAGAGGACAATCCAAAAGTTCCTGAAAAAATTCCATTACCCTTTAATTCCCACGAACTTTTTGAAATGCCATCATATCTGGGGTAAAAAAGCAAATTATCAGCAGGGGGTGGAACTGGAATGAATCCATAGGAAGTCCTGTGTCCGTCAGTTTTTCCTTCCTAGGAATGGAGCTACAGGTGCTATGAAGAACCACGATTACGCACCCTCCTGGATTACGTGAACTACTCTGATGTTTCGTCTTCATCCCGGTCCCACCCGGGAGCTAAAGCCAACGAAACCTACTGCCATCAAGCTGACTTTGACGTCTGCAGGACAGAGCAGAAATACCCCAGACTTCCCACTACCTTTCCCAAGTCTATAAATCTTTAGAGAAGCAGCACATGTTTCTCCCTGGAGCAGCTCTGTGCTTTAACCACCATGTCACCAGAATGCCTTCCTGGCACTCAAAAGCAAGGTGGGTAAGCTTGCCATTTGAGGGGAACCCTCCTCTCTTTTTAGGAAGCCAGTATCAATTTTATCTCAAGATACCAGAGATCCATTCATTCAATGGAATGTTATGAAGATGTGAAGTAAGATGAAAATAAAGCTTATGATACAATTTAATACATTATATGATAAATGTGTATACAACACTTAACTACTAAAGTAAAAAATAGAAGTGATGGCACACAATGCTCACAGCAGACATGTTAGGATCGTGGGATTTTCATTGGTTATTTTTTTCTCTACTTTTCTAAAACAAAAATCTACCATTTCAATACATTACTTTTACGGTCAAACCAAAATAAAAGAAAATTTTTAAACTGTATATTCACTATGTATCTAAGTATAAAAGGGCTTAAAAAAAATTCATGGAAAATGAAATGGAAGGAATGGAATTTTTCCAAAACCTTTTTGAAGCCTCCTTGTACATATTTAAGTATGCATAGGAAAAGACTGGGAGAGTCGTACATTGAAATAAAAACACAGGCTGTGTTCAGGTGGTGGCTGAAGTTCTTTTAAAACTAGAAGAAATACTAAATACTAAAAAAAAAAAGTATGATTAAGAAGATAATTAAAAACAGAAACAAAAGCAACTTACTTTAGACTGCTTTTTTAAAAAAAAAACAAACGAACCACCTCACACTTGGACAGCTGTAACCATTTCTCAGTGAGCTAAGACACAGAGTCTTGGGACATGAAGGCAGCCCTGGACCCATCCCCACTTCAGCTGCAAAGACGGCCATGGGAGACTATCCGCCTAGCACAGCTAAGGGGAGAGGGAGTCAGGCAGGCCACGTAGGTTCCAATACTGGCTCCACGAGTCATATAACCTTTGGGGGCTAAAGTTTCCTCAATTGTCCAAAGAGGAACAGAGCCCCTGCCCTCTTCACGTTAAGAAGTTGCTGTTAGGAACAAAAGAGACCCTAATGTGAAAGAGCAGGAGAAGCCCAGAGTACCATGTTCATGCTGAGGTAGGTGGGGTTGTTCTCAACTCTAGCTACAGATTACCTAGGAAGGTAAAAACAAAAAACACACACAAAAAACTCATGCCTCCATTTGGTCCCAGAGAATCTAATTTGGTAGTTTTGGGGTGGGAGCAAAGGTGTCCTGGTGACACATTGGCAGCTCTGGGCTGCCAACCAAAAGATTGGTAGTTCACTGTTGGCATATCACTCCAGGGGAGAAAGATGTGTCAGTCTGCTTCAGTAAAGATTTTACAGCCCTGGGAACTCTATGGAGTATTACAGGGGAGAAAAGAGACCCCTTCTTCAAAGATATAAATATTGTACAGACTCTTTACTAACTCTTAAACAAAAGTAAACATAAGACAAAGACAAACAGATCACCCAGGTGAGAGAAATCATAGACACCACAATGAGCTTCCACATTTCTATCTCGACGTGGTGACCTTCCCCTCCCATAACCATGACTGGGGGCAGCAGCCATGTATCCCATACTCACACTGGGCTTATGGAAAGCAGGGAGGGAATTAGGCAGATGGAAAGCTCTGAGGCTGGGTATGGCATCACAACTAGGTGACAAGGGGTATGTCTAGGGCTGTTTCTGTGAAACCTGGGGGAAGTGCTACCAAAACCTACTTTTAAATATACCGCTTCTAATTCTGGTAGTTCAGTTGTCAGAGGTGCATGAGTGCATGAGGTACTCAAGAAAAATTGGGATCTGAACACTTAAACCTAGACACAAGATGGAATTAAGTTCTGTTAGGGTGGAGTCATTCACAGGCAAAAAGCCTTCAGAATTTGTACTCTACAGCAGTGGTGGTGGTGGTAGTGTGCCGTGGAGTCGGTTCCAACTCAGAGTCCCTGCATAGGGTTTCCAAGGCTGTGAATCTTTACGGAAGCAGAAAGCCTCATCTTTCTCCCACGGAACCACTGGTAGTTTCCAACTGCTGACCTTGAGGTTCACAGCCAGATTCGTAATCACTACGCTACCAGAGTTCCTCCTGCAGCAGTAGGCAGTTCTATTGTCCTAAAAGGTTGCTGTAAGTCAAAATTTACATGATGGCAGTGGGTCTGGGGTTGGGAAGTGAGGGGGAGAGAGAGTTCGGGTAGGAGATCAGCATCTGTATTGCTAAAAATTTCTCCATGTCATTCTGATATGCTCCAAAAGTTTAAAACCCAGAGCCAGGTGGACATTACCTGCCCAGTACAGAAAGAGTGCTAAGAAAAAACAAGGTGGCAAAGAAGTGAAAGAAACTGACTTTCATGTACCGCTGGTGAGAGTGTAAACTAGAATTAATTTCTGAAGGGCAACGTGGTAATTTGTAACAAAGCCATAGAATATTGCATAGACTTTCCCACAAAAAGGCACCCTTCGAAATTCACTGTAGAAAAACAATCACAGATGTGCACAAAGGTAGAACTATAATGTCACTGATGGCTATCTGTCACAGTGAGAAATTCGAAACAATCTAAATGACCAACTGGGATATGGTTAAATTATGGTACATACATATCACTGAGGACAATGTGGCCATTAAGAGTGATGTTGACAAACAATGTTTAAGGGCATACGATGCTCATGTTCATGGCAGGATATTAAGTGATACAGGTTAAAAATAGAGTGCTTTCATATATGCATTACTTATGCATTAAAAAAAGGCTGAACTGCTTTATGTCATGAAATTATCTCTCAATGATTTTGAACTTAGTGGCTCAGAACACAGGCTTTGACATCACACATTTTGAGTCCTGGGCTCAAATTCAAACCCTGCCACTTTTAGCTGGATGATCACGACTAACACTTTTCTTCCCAATAAAATGTGAATAACTGCATCTTCCTCAGTATTTGAAGGCCTTAGCATGACAGAAATTTAACAAAAGATCTAAGCGTTATTGTTGTTGTTAAGTGCTGTTGAGTCAGTTTTGATTCAGTGACCCTGTATAGAGTTTTAGAGGAGTGGCTGGTGGGTTTGAACAGTCAACCTTGTAGTTAGCAATCCAATGATTATCCTACAGCACCACACCAGGACTCAAAATTCTCTATCATGAGCACAGGTTAGTTTTATGCATAAGCAAATAAACTCATGCTATTAAGACCCTAAGAACCCTACTCTCTGCATAATTTCAGCCCTCCTTCAAGTGCCCCAAGCTGGGTGCCTTACAGGTCTGACCCACCCAGGCTGGTTTGAGCTCCCTCCCTTCTGTAGCCGAAGGCACTCTGACTCCTACCACTCTGCTGGCTTGATCCAATCAGATAAGCCCAGAGGTAAGGCAGGGGCCAGAACCGCCCACAGGAGGTAGGAAGGTGGTGTCTGGGGCAGACTCACCAAGGCAGGGTAGGAGGGGTAGCCTCGGCACTTGGCCCACACCAGCTCCAGGGGCTCCAGGTCTCCGCGGTCTTCAAAGGGCATCAGGAGGCTTCTGCCTGGGGGTGGGGGAGGGGAGGAGACAGAGCCCAAAGGGGACTTGGAATGGTGCCCAGAGTCCTGGCTATGGCCTCCATTTGACTGGGGCAGTGCAGGAAAGAGCCAGCAACATCCCCTCCACCCATCCTCTTCCCTGTGCTGTCCTTAGGAGAGCTCCTTAGAAGGAGAACTTGTCCTGTAAAGGGCCAGATTTGAAGGATTTCACATTCCATGGGCCACATGGTCTCAGCTCTACCACTGTAACTTGAAATCAGTCATAGGCAATTGGTAAACAAATTAGCAAGGCTGTGTCCCAATAAAATTCTATTTATAGGCATTGAAATTTGAACTTCATGTCATTTTTACCTGTTCTGAAATATTATTTTTCTTTTGAATTTTATTTCTTAATCATGTAAAAGTGTGAAAACCATTCTTGGCCTATGGGCTGTATAAAAACAGGCAATGGGCACTACAGTCTGTGGACCTCAGAACTAGAACCTCAGGATGGTTTCCCTGGAAAAACATAACTACTTTGTTACAGGGCTTCAGGAGGAAGCCACATGAAGAGTCCTCATCATGGAGGCTTCCTGGATACAGATGCCTGGGAAGGACATCCCAGGAAAACTCTCTGCTAAATGAGTTCTCTTCTGAAAGGTCACCTGGGTATAGAACACCCTGCAGGTCCTTCCCGTGCCCGCTTGTCAGAGCTTAGATTCGATGTCTAGCCTGGGCAGACACCACATCTCTTCAGCTTACTTTCTCACCTAATGCACTAAGCACACGTAAAGGGTGCATCCCCAATGCTTCTGAGCACAGTGGAACTGCCCTGTCCTCACCCAAGAAAGTGGCCACACTCAACCAAGGAAAAGGGCCCAAACTTCAGAGTGGATATTATGTTTCTAAAGAAACATTACCACCCTCATTTACAACTTTTTTAAATGTACTGAAATAAAAGGAGGCATTCTTTTGTACCTAGTGAGTCAGCAACAATAACAAAAAGATACAATCTAACTCCAAAGAGGAGAGCTGGTGCACCCAGACACTGCTGTTGAGACTGTAGACCATCCCATCTATTCCGAATGTAATTTGGCAGAATGTACCAAGAGCCATAAAAAAAAAAAACTAAAAAACAGCCATCTGCTCCAGTAAGTTCCTTCCCTGGGAATTTATTCTAAGAAAAATAACTTTAGAAACGAATGAAAGGAGGTTGAACAAAAACATAGCTTACTACATTAGGTTAAAAACTGGAAATAACCCAAATGACTAACAACTGAAGAATGACTAAGTATTTAGAATGCACTGATTGGGATATATACTGTTCCAATAAAATGAGAAATAGAAAGATTTTGTGTCAAAATGAAAAAAGTTTAACATTGAAAAAAGCAGAATACGTGTTTTGGATTAGCATTTTGTTAAAAAAATGTGCCTAAAATAAACAGAAGAGACCACAGAAAAACGAAGACATTTGTGTTAAGGTAATGGGACTTTGGGAGGTCAATTTCCTTTGGCACCATTTATATCCTACGTATGTAAGCTTATAAAATTCGAGGATAATGTCACCACCAGAAGCACAAGTATGTGTCAATCTGCTCCCGGTCTTGTGCTAGCTGCTATACCAATTCATCTAGACATGAGCCCTGCCTCCTGGGAGCTGACAGTCACAGACAGTAATGAAACACACACAAGGCATGCATTCATCAACACACACACACACACACACACACACACACGAGAATAAAACCAATGCTACAAGAAAAGAAAGCCACTGGGAAAAGGAAAGAGGGAAGAGAGGCTCTGAAGCCTGTGTTTGACAGACGCTTCAAAGACTGGGCATCTAGAGAATGGGTGTGCCTCTTTGAGAGCTGGGCAGAGTGAGCTCAGTGAAGAACAACCTGCTCTCCATCTGCCCTTCCCTGCCGCCCTCTATCCCCTCAGCCTAGGTCTTCTACTGTTTGAACCAACTGGAATGGAATGTCTTCTGAGAAGAGTGCTGAAAGCACTGGATAACATGAAATTACAAGGTTATATATGAGATTTGATGATACAAGTCATCATGAGGGCAGTCTGGCAATATCTATCTTACTTACAGACGCACCCTTCTGTCAATATGGGAATTCCACTTCTACAGATACAGCTCTCATGTGTAAAACATCATCTGTGCACAAGGATGCTCACTGCTGTATTGTGATAGCAAATAAGTGAATCATCTAAATGTCCATCTTTGGCAAACTGGTTAAGTAAACGATGGCACTCCTATACAATGGAACATAGGGCCACTGATAAAAAGCACAAGGCAGCTGTGTGGGTACTGAAACAGGAGACTCTTCAAGATATGAGGGGCCTTCAAAAAGTCCATAGAAAATGGCACTAAAAGATAATGGAATTTTTCCATGAACTATGTGAAGGTCCCTTGTACATTATTAATAAAAGGTGTGGTTTAAGAGCAGTATGCGTGTATTAGGCTTCTCTACTTTCCACAAATATGAGCATGTATGACCCATTCAAATTTAAAATGAATTAAAAAAAAAAAAAAAAAAGAGTATGAATGACCTAGGAGGAAGAGGACCTTGCTGCCCAGTGCTAGAAGGGTCAGGAGGAGCTCATGGGCTGGCTGCCCTCATTCTCAGCCCCAACAGGCTAGCCGCCCACAGACTGGCTCCTCTAAAGTTCTGCTCCACCTGAAGCTGGTTCCTCACCTGAATCGTTGTAGTCAGAATCTCCATTGACACCTTCCAGGAAGGGCACTCGAGACAGGGCTGGCTTCCCACGGCTGCGTTTTGGGGCAGTCAGACCACTGCATAGAGCAAGGAGAGAGGGGAATTTGAGCCATCTCAATGATAAACACACCCACTGCTTTTCTCCCATCTTTCACAAGGGTGAAATGATGCAAAAAGCCTACAGGGAAGAGGGTTCTCACCTAACCCCCAAAACTCACACTACTCTATGACAAACTTCTTCAGTCCTGTGGAAGAACTGAACCTGGAAGGTGACTGCCTATCCCCTACCCACAGAGGAAGGGCAACATCAGTCAACTCAACCCTTCCAGAACCTGAATGGCCTTGCTACAAGCAAAGGCCCTCTCATATCTGCCAAAAATTCTTTATTCCATGGTTCACATTTCTTCTTCTTTAGAAACCAACTTATTTTTTAGGTACAAAAATCTGATCTGCTTGTTTCCCAACATTACGAATGGGCACATCTTACTTGCAACATTTTCATGTTGAGGGAAAAAGTCCCTCCTCACTTTCCAGTGATTGGTGTGTGTGAGGATATAGAGGTGAGCTCAGAGAAGAGCAGCCTGCTCTGCTCCTGCTCCTTCTTCTCTTGGATAAGGAGAGATGACTTTAAAAAAAATAAATAAAACTTTTTTTTTTAACATGGATAATGCAAAAAATTAAAAATCTACATTGACAAAGACAAAGTAATAAGCAAATATAAGACTATTTATAGCAAAGCATCAATATTTTTAATAGCTTCCCATGTGATTCTAATGTACAAAAACCATGGGTGAGAGGCCCCCAGGGAAGAAAATGTGGCTAAGGTTTGTTTTCACGCAAGCTTGTCTGAATATCGTGTTGTTGTCATCAAGTCCATGTCGACTCACAGACTCACAGTGACAGAGGACAACTGCCCCATAGGCTTTTCTAGGCGGTAATCTTTACAGGAGTCCTGGTGTGGCACAGAAGGAATAAGCACAGGACTGCTAACTGCAAGATCTGCAGTTCAAACCCACCAATTGCTTCTTGGAAACAATCCTATCTATACATGGTGCTATGAGTTGAAACCGACTCAATGGCACTTAACGACAAAGACAATAATCTTTACAGAAGCAAATCACCAGGTCTTTCTCCTGTGGAGTCGCTGGATGGGTTTGAACTGTCAACTTTTTGGTTAGTATTCTAGTGCTTAACTGTTGCTCCACCAGGGTTTCTTATTTTAATATTCTTGCTATATGATTCTCTCAACTAAGAAGAATGCTTAAAAGACAGAGCTGACAGATCTGCTGATAAATAGCAACACTTAGAAATCCTTGAGTAGGAAGATGCCGGGGCTGGGACAGGTTAGAAAGTAGAGTCTGACTGGTATAGCGCTGTGGGATAAAGTCCTGGGCCACAAGGTCGTTTTAACCACAAGGTTGGTGGTTCAAATTCACCAGCTGCTCCTTGGAAACCCATACAGTCATTCAACAGCACTTAACAACAACAACAGCAACCATTTTGTTGTTAAATGTCTTCAGGTCGGTTCTGACTCACAGCAACCTTGTATAGGATTTCCAAGAAACGGCTGGTGGTTTTGAACCACTGACCTGTGGGTAACAGAGCAGTGCTTACTGAATTATAACTGTGTTAACATGATCAGACAGAAAGCTTGCTTTACTGGGACCCAATGTGTGTCACTGTAGTTCTAGAATAAGCACTGGACTGTTAACCACAAGGTCAACAGTTTAATTTCACCAGCCACTCTTTGGAAACTCTATGTTATTAAGTGCTGTTGTATCAGTTCCGACTCATAGTAATCCTGTATAGGATTTCCGAGAAGCAGCAGGTAGGTTTGAACCTAAGACCTTGCAGTTAGCAGTCCAGTGCTTATCCTACAGCATCACACCATGAGTCAGAATCAGAGGGCACTTAACAACAATAATGAATCAAAATCCTGGTAACCAGTAGTTGAGTTTTTCCCTGTTAAAACTTCAAAGTAGTCCATTCTGGTTTGACCCCCTGCTGTTTCACCCCATATATGGATCAGAATAATAAGATAACATATGTATACATAGGTATATTCTGATTTAATATATCTACAGGTAGAAGGGCAAACTCTCAGCAGGGGTGGGGGTAGGGGTGGGAGTGATCAAGTTTGAACTAGATGAAAACATTTTGGATGCAGTTCCCACTCACACTCCTTTTCTAAGCCTTGCACAATTATTAGGAAAGCCTTTCAGAGTTCACATCATAGATCTGGAAAGCCATTCTCAAGAGCAAGAGAGAAAAGAGCACAGCAAAGTGTCCAAAACTCTGGAGCCAGACTACCTGGGTTCAAAATTCAACATTCTGACTCTTAACTCTGTGATTGTGAGTCAGGTGGTTTTCCCATGTGCTGTTGGGGAAATCTACTAATACACACAAAGCACTCAGTACAGCACTGACCAAGTACTTCTACTCTTCACTTATGGGCTCTCTTTTTATCCCACATGTCTCATTTATGTCAGTAGCAAGAATTCTATCCAGTGTGGGCATAGAAGATATATGTCTGGCAGTAAGGAGCGAGGGCTGAGGTGCAAGGCAAGAATAACACTGACTGTGAAGATTAAGGTTGTGTGTCAGCTTGGCGGGGCCATCATTCGCAATGGTTTGGCAGTTATGTCATGATGTAACTTTGCAATGATGTCATGATGTAGTTATCCTCCATTTCTGCATAATGCTGATCTTCACGTAACACCTAGTCTTTGGAATCTAACCATGTCAACAAGTGAGGAGTGGGTATACTCAGCAAAAGGCCATTGTAGTTATTATGTGTAGGGCAGGCAGTACATTTGTGTGTGTGTGTGTGTGTGTGTGTTGGGGGTGAAATTTAAAGAAAGTGAACCAGATAAAGAAAAGAGAGTATTCCAAGTAGGGAGCAGCCTCTGCACAAATCCAGGAGAAACAGCAGAGCAGGTTGGGGGAACCATAATGTCAAGATAAAAGAGACAGGAGAACTGAAGGGAGAAAAAGCTTAGAATCTAATTGGGCTTATCTATGAAATGCACCTTGAAATCACTGAATTGCTCTTTTAAGAATGGAGCCTCGTGTTGGGAGAGGTTGGGAAGCGGAGAAAGACCAGGTAATGAGTTATGGAACTCATGCTTTGTTTACATTCTAATTTTACCTCCACTTGAGCTGTCCTCCCTCCTTTCAGGACAGTACATTCTAATTCTCACATTAAGTAAAGCAAACTACTAACATTGTTCTACAGGATGATAAGCTCTGAGGAGGATGAGCTAGATAAAACAGGATGCACACCACAATGAGGTCTGTGTATTCCTGATTTGTAGGAAAAACCACTGCAGCCCTCTCCAAGTTGTCCAAGCCTAATTGGCAACTAGTATGTAATTACCCTGTCTACTTACTGGTTTAATGTTCACTCACCAACCCTTCCATAAGGAAAGCTCCATCAGTGCTCAGAACAGTACTTAGCATACAGTAGATCACCAATTATTAATCACTGAATGATCCATAGAAAGAGGGTTCAGCCAGAAAAGAGAGACCAAAGGGTAGGTGTGGAGGACAGGGAGTTTAGTGGTCAGAAGTTCTTTCAAATGTGAAATTCTACAATTCCAGTCTAATTAATACATACAATCTTCCTTTATATACTTATTACAACAATGTAACAAAAACAAGAATACAACAAAAACCTTGCAGTTAGAAGCCCTCGAATTTCCCGTTTCAAACCCTGAAATTTCACTGAGAACCTTCCAAAGGCATTATTCCTACATCGAGCAAAAATCTGTGGCACTGGACTAGAGTTGCACAAAAAAGCCAACACACCACTTGAATTAGCAGGCTGCCCACAGCCTGGCCTGGCTTGGCCTGCCTCCTGCAGCCCACAGCTGGGAAGAGTGCCCTTTGAGGAAGGACTGACACACCCTCTTTCTTTAGTCAAGGGCTCTGGAGGGGACAGTTTGATAACCCCACCCTGCCCACCCTCAACAAACTGGGCTTCCAGGGACCATATTTTTTTAAAGGAGTCAGGAACTCCACTTTAACAGTTTATAACAATTGTATCTACATAAGAATTCACTGGAGAAACATTGCTAAAATGTTAATTCTGATTTAGTATACATCTGGAGTGAAAAATGCAAATTCTCAGCAAGGAAATGCTGAACTGGAAAAAAACAGGTAAACATCCAGTTTTTTTATTCACCACCGGTAGGAATCAAACCCACCAGCCACTCCTTGGAAACCCTAAACAGGCCACTTAACCACCACTCCTATACTGGTGGAGGTTACAGAAGGAAGGAAGAAACCTAAGGCAACTCTGAGGTGTGGTGGTAGTGGTGGTGGTGTTAAGTGCTATGAGTCCACTCATAACAACTCTGTATAGAGTTTCTGAGGAGTGGCTGCTAGTGGCTTGCGGTCTAGTGCTAATAATCTCAAAGATACCACTGAGAGCTGGGTCCTACCATGTGGGGGCCAGGCCCAAGGGGTAGTTGTGGCCTTCTGTAGTCCAGGGTCAAGTGAGTACCTAACAGAACATCATCCCCCTCTCTTGGAAACACTTCAAACACTGGCAGATGTAGCATTTTGGTGCAGCCCTGAGACCTTTTCCTCCCTTACTTAGAACCCAAGATTCCATTCAGTTGCCATATCCACCAGTCACTGGGTCATTTTCCCACTTCTAAGAACCCCAGACTCCCTGCAGTCCTGTAGAGCACATAACACAGAGCAGTGGGCTCCACAAACTCTTGGACTTAGAAGTCATGGCTTTAGAAATCCTTCATGTAAAAGAATGAAAAAATAAAACCCATCCCTTCCCAAGGTGGTAGACGAGCTGGGGACCTCTTTTGGAATACCATTGGTAAGTGCCATTGAGTAGATTCCAACTCACAGTGACATTGTATAGAGGATCAACTGGTGGGTTTCATACACCAACCTTGTGGTTAGCAGTCCTGTGCTTATTCTACAATGCCATACCAGAGCCTCCTGTTGGGAGTAATCGTTAAGTGCTGTTACCAGTCCAATGCTTATCCTGCTGAGAGGCATATGTTGTTAAGTGCCAACTCATAGTGACCCTGTATAATGCTTCAGAGGAGTGGCTGTGGGTTTGAACTGCCAACCTTGGGAATCAAAGTGACCTTGCAGTCCAGCGCACGGTCCTGCAGTGCACACCAGAACAGGCACTTCCAAATTTCCTGTGCTCAAGACGCTATGATGCACCAAAAGGTAGTGTATGGCTGTTGGCTCATTGTCCCCACCCTCTAGAATCCAGATTCAGTTCCCTAAACCCTGTAATGAGTCAGTGCCACTCCTCCACTCCTAGTCGGAGGGTCACCCTATTGCCTAGAAACCATTCCCAGAGTTATAGACAAGAGGCCTCAGGAAATGGCAGGTAAAAAACAGAGGTAAGCATGAAAAGGTAGAATCCCATAGCTAATCAGAGAACAGGAAGAGGGATGGCAAGGTTGCCAACTAGGCTTTGCAGGAAAATGATCTTACCTGCAGGCTTCAAATGCCAGTCCACCACTGAGACCCAAACTACATTCCGAGTCAGACCCACTTTCGGTGTGTTTTCCAAAGCCATTGGTTACGCCTGCCAAGGAAGGATACACAAAATGAGCCTGAGTGCAAAACCCTCCCTTCCCGACACACACTGTAGTGAGGCAGCTGCTGGGGGTGTGGTGGGGGAAGGCCAGGGCTGCAGAGGCTGGCTATTCCTGCCCCTATGGAACTGAGTCTTGGGTGATGGGAAAACATGATGAATATGTTGGTCTGGGGGAAATGAGCAAAAACTGCATTTTCCTTCCCACCCTTCCAGTTTCACTTTAAGGAAAACAGCACATAACAACTCTGGCTACTGTCATTTGGCTACAAAGGGAAATACCTAGACTTCTCCATCTTGGCTGGCTCACATGGCCCTGGATCTGCTTCTCAGTTCAAGCTTCAATTATCAGGGAGTTTCCTCTGCCTCTTGGGCAGCCCACTTGCCTTGCTGCTAAAGATAAACACTCACACACCCTATCTACCATACAGCTGGCAACAGCCAGATTTCATTCAGGAGAGGTTGGGACAGGATAAGGGCTATGTGTCAACTACACCCTCACATATCTAATAGGGCTAAAGTTGGAGGTGGGGAAACATTCCAGCAGAATGGCCTGAGTCCTAGGCTTGGCTCTGAAGCAGTCTAAAACCCAAGGCAGGTTCTCTTCAAGCCTTGCCATCCCCTTTAAGCCCAGTTCTTATCGTACATTGTCACACCTGGACTCTGCTTAGCGAAGATAGTGAAAACAAATGAAGGCGATTTGGTCAGTCCAGGGACATGATCTTTTCTATTTAACCAATTCTTAACCTAGACTGTTAACTGCAAGGTCGACAGTGCAAACCCACCAGACACTCCTTGGAAGCTCTATACAGGGTAGCCATGAGTTGAAAATGACCAATGGCACTTAACCACCACCACCACCACCACACTCCAGAGGCCTAGAAGTGTGACAACAGAACAAAGGGTGTACAGAGATGGGTCCAGGCACTTAAGAACTTTAGATCATAGATACTTTGGCCAGAAACCTGAGGCAACTCACACTTGTAAGAATTGTCTGAGCCCATGTTTAGACTCTGGCCTGGATCTGTCTTTCAAGATATAAACTCAATTTCAGCCACTGAAGCCAGCTGTGTCTTAGGTGCCTCATCTGTAAAGGACTGACATGTTTTTATGAGATTTAACTAAGGAGGCACAGAAGTGTTCCCAGGTACCAGGCAGCTGGGAGAGTTGGGGAGAAACAGATTCCAGCGGTACCTCAAACAGTGGGCCTCTCAAGTTGATGGGCCCAATGTCTAGGTCAATATCTGAGTAGCAAGATTTTTCACTTTTAGCACCATGTTCTCAGTGCTATTTGACTGAGCCTGATTCAGCTGAGAGGATGACAATAATTGGTGTGGTGTTGTGGATTAATGTGCTGGACTGCAAAGCCAGTTTGAACCACAAGGTCAGTGGTTCAAGCACACCAGCCTTTCCTTGGAAACCTTGTACAGACAGAGTCACTATGGGTTGGAACCGACTCGAAAGCACTCAACAGCAGCAGCTACATGTTGGAATCCATTCGATGGCAATGGATTTGGTTAGGTATGTCAAATGCTTTATGTAAACCATTTCTACTCCTCAGACAACTGCAAGGTGGTATCACGATCACTGTTGTTGAATGTCATTGAGTCGATTCCGACTCATAGTGACTCTGTAGAGTTTCTGAGGGTTTGAACTGTAGACCTTTTGGTTAGCAGTCCAGTGCTTATCCTACACTATCACTAACCCCTGATTATAACCAAACCCATTATTATTGAGTTGATTCCTACTCCTAGCAGTCCTATAGGACAGGATAGAACTGACTCAGAGGGTTTCTAAGGAAATCTTTATGGAAGCTGACAGCCACATCTTTCTTCCTCAGAGCGGCTGGTGGGCTCAGCCTGCTGACATTTCGATTAGCAGCCAAGTGCTTAACAGCTGCACCACCAGAGCTCCTAGCTCCATATTAGAGATAAAGAAACAGAGATCTCAGAGAGGTTAATTTGCCTCAGGATGCAGTTGATCAGGCTTCAAGCTCTTACCTCTATATACCAACCTACTGTTTTAACGCCGAGAAACTTGGCTCAGAAGAAGATATTGTTGGAAATAGTGTTAGGCAGGAAGACAGAAGAGCAAGTGCTGGCCTCACAGTCCAAGGCCACCACATAAATGGACATGAGAGGGACACATTAAGCAAAAGCCAAGCACAGTCCTCCTCATCTCCCCAACCAAACTGGCCTTTCCCATCCCACCAACACTAAGCTACCTAATCTGGCATTCAAGGTCCTCCAGTTCAGGTCCACCTTGTTGCCCACCCAGTGTTGGCTCTTGAGGTACTGGGTAGTCACTCTCCTCATCGTCCCCCACAGAGGCTGTCTTTCCTCCTCCTCATTTCTACACACCCAGGCCAGAGTTCTCTGCCCTATCTATTCTTCCCTCATCCCTCAGAGCCAGCCTAGGTACTGCTACCTCATAAAACCTTCCCTGAACACTCCCAGCAAAGCTATGTCTGACACACAACCACACACTGACCAGCACTGGGATTGCGCTACATCTTGGAAGACCATCCAGTCCTATTGGACTGTGGGCTCTCTTGGAGCTGGAAGTGAGTCAGATTCTTCCTACCTCTGTGACCTAATCTCCTGCCACCCCGGCTCACCCGGCTGCAGTCACATTAGCCCCTTTATTGTTCCTCAGACATGCAGGCACGTCCAGGACCTGTGTGCACTTGCTAGTTTTATCTTTTTGGAATGTTCCTCCCCCATATACTCAAATGGCTCACCCCACTCTTTCAACTCCTTTGGATCTTTACTCAAATGTCACCTCATTGGAAGGCCTCCCTGGCGACCTTAACTCTCTTCCACCCCAGCATTCCCTAGACCCATCACTGCCTGATTTTTTCCCCCGTTTCTAAAATAAAATATAACTTACTCATTTGCTTATAGCCTGTCTTCTCCATAAGAGACATTTTTGTCTGTTTTGTTCTTTGATATTTTCTCCTTAGTGTTTAAAATAATGCCTAACAAGTCTTCTCAATGATGAACTGATACAAAGATAGGACTCACTTTACCATTACAGCTTTGTATCCCCCACAGAGCCGGTGAGCCTCAGATACACATCTAGCCCTGCAAAAATACTTGCTCAAAGCCTCTTTCCCTGATCATTACTCATGGACCAGGCCCAACTGTGAGCTCTGGAGCCCTCAATGCTACTACTGAAGTCCATAGCGCCATTAGGAGCTGGCTGATGGGGGAGGTGCTGGTTGGCAGAACAAAACAGGAAAGCAGATGAGAAGCAGCAAGCTAAGTTGCAGGCGGGGTCACCTGTCTCTTCTTCTGGCTGAGGGGACCTCTCCCCTTCGCTTTCACTACAGCTCCTACTCCGGGGCCGCTTCCGGGAGTGCTGCTCATCCTCAGTGCTGGAGGGAGAAGCAGGAGAACCCACGGCACCATGGTCCTCGCCATTCTCCATGGCCCTGTCTGGGCTCCTCTGTAGCTTGGCCCCATTCTTGGCCTTCTTGAAGAGGACTGATGTGCGGCGACCCACCCCACTGAGTGGGGCACCAGCAGGGGTGTCGGGGGCTGTGAGGGACAGTCTGTTGAGGCCATTGTCACTGAGCAGGCGTTGCAAAGGCTCATTCCCTAGTTGTAGAGGTGATTTTTCCAAGAGCACATCTTCTTCCACCTTTCTGGGCTTTAGGACCCGGCTTGAAGATTTACTATCATTGATGGGTTTCAGAGTAGGGGGCTCTGGGGGAGATTCTTGCTCAGACAGTGATGGTGCAGGCCCAGTAGGCTCCAGGGTTGGAGGAGGAGAAAGTTTGGTGTCATCTGTTAAAGAAAAATAGAGCCTGCTTGAACATTTTAGAAAGAGTCTGCCCCTATAAACCAGAAACAGACACCTGATAACCAAGGACTAAAGTCATGGGCTGTCAGGAGGCTTGAGCTATGTGCCAGGTCTCGGGCCTGCCTAAAGTGAAAAAAAAAAGCAGGACGAAATTTTACCTCACTAGGAGTCCTGGTGTGGCACTGCAGGATAAGCACTGGACTGCTAACTGCAAGGTTGGTGGCTCAGACCAGCTTCTCCTTGGAAACCCAAGACAGGCTCACTATGAGTCAGAATCAACCTTTGACACTTAACAAGAAGTAGTCCTCAAAGGAGCCCTGTTAGCATGGCTGATTATGCGTAGGGCTGCTAACTGCAAAATCAGCAGTTCAAATCTACCAGCCACTCTGGGAAAAAGAGGAGACTTTCTGGTACCGTAAAGATTTACAGCCTCAGAAACCCTATAAAGCATTGCTATGAGTCAGAACCGACTTGAGGATATGCAGCAGCAGTTCTCAGCCCTGACTTTGTAAAACCACCAAGGAAGCTTTTTACAATGCCTAGGCCTCACTCCAGGTTAGTTAAAACCAAATTTTGAAGGGAAGGCTATTAAAATAAAAACAACACAAAAACAACGAAACTCACCAGGTGAATCTGATGCAGTAAGGGTTGTAAATCAGAGCTATACATCTAAGAAAGGTACCTGCTTAATCAATAACTCGCTAAGTCTCAGCTTGGCAGGCAAGGACTCTGCAATTCTCATTAGACTCATGAATTTTTTTCATCTGTCAATCTCTTTTGCTTCACATCAGCCAAGTGAGACCATATGGGGAAGGCAGAAAGAGTAAGTTTATAGATGTGGAAAACTGATGCCAAGTTAAATCAGTGGTTTCCACACGTCTGCTTGCCTGCCACCTTGAACTTTCAGAAACTGAGAGACTTTCAGACCACATCCTAGTCTTCCTTAGTCTTAGTGAGGCCTTTGAATGAGGCTGTTGTTAGTTAACAGGTTCACTGGGTATGGCTCTTACATTGCCAGGAGACAGGTGTGGGGATACAGATGGTATGCTGATGCACATGGGAGGCTGGAGAATCACAATGGAGACCAAGTCCTCCAATGCCTAGTGCAACAACCTATTAACCATTACCCCTTTTTGTCAACCATAAATAAATGGGCTATCTGGACCCCTATTCTCTAGAGACGACTCCCAACCTTGTGTAGATGACAGTTCCTTCTTCAAAGAGTTCAGGAAAATTGGAAGTATCTCAGCTTATGAGGGCCCTGAATCTCTGAATCACTTCCCCAGCTGTCTTTGACAGTGTGGCCTTTCAGCTTGGGACGGGCCTATAGTTTTAATCACCTAGGGTCAAAACTATGAAGCAGTTCAACAGCACAGACCACCTCTCTGCTAGCTGTCCCCACCCCACATAACCTGTTCTGAGATATAAGGTGGGTTATTTAACTGATAGGTATACTATGGCCAGAACAAGTGCGAAATATTGGTATAATTCTTTATTAGTTAGTAAACAACTGCTGGCCCCCAGCACCTGAGACTCTTTGAATCTCCCCATAATCCAGCAACTAAACGTTTATATTAAGGACCCTTTTGAGTCCTCTTCAATACAACCCAAACAAATTACAGTGGAGTCAATTCTCGCTTATGGTGACCACATGTGTGTAGAGTAGGTTAGCAGTCACGCATGTTAGCCATTTGCGCCAGTCCAGTCCCTCCAATTCAACAGCCACATCTATTCTGATTGATAAATGCTTAGTCTTTACTAACTAATTATTATTTTGAATATTATCCCACAGAAGTTTGATCCCTCTGATGGCTTCTACTTAACCAAACGGGTCAGACTCTAAAGTGGGGGAGAGGTGCCCTCCCTCTAAGATTTCAGGCTGGTCCTTAACCCTCACTCCTCCTAGTGTCCATCTGCTTATGACTCTCTCTCACCTCTATCCCCACTGTCTTCGGACTCCTCCCGCAGGGCCTGCTCCATAGCAGCAGCATCCCCACGGGGCCCGGTCGACAACTCCCCATTGGGCACAGTCTTGTTCAAGGATGGCAGCAGTGGTGGTGGTGGTGGCGGTGGTGGTTGTGCTAGCTTCTGCCGGAGGGCATTGATCTCCCGGTGCAGCAGGCGGACGCGGCGGGTCCGGGCCCCACTAGACCGCATGGCGCTCACCAGGTCCAGCTTCTCCAGCAGCTCCTTCAGCTGCACCTCCGAAGATAAATGGGCCCGGTTCTCTGGGATGAGGATGTTGTCCACTGCCAGGGAGAAGGGAGGACAGAAGGGGCTGAAGAACCTGCCCAGCCCAGGGAAAGGGTCGAATCCTCCAGATGCAAAATATTCTCCTGGAATGCCTGGGCCAGGGACTTCCTGCAGCGTCACTGTGGGACATTGGGCCTGGTAACACCACTGCCCGAAGGGTAGTCATGCGGACCAAGGTCAGAATCTGGGAAACATCTGCAGGAAGCAGTTCAGTCACAATTATGGGCTCTGTGGAGCAGGCACGAGGTGGCTTGACAATCCCCTAGCCTGAGTGACTGTTTGGCTGCTGCCATTGAGAAGCAGAGAGCAGGGGCAGGCAGAATATGGGGTTCAGATGAATTTTTTCTGGTCCTTCACCTGCACTCTTCTGAATGAGCCAGACACACACCAGCATAGCACTCCCCATCCCCTTGCTCCAACTCCACACATAGCGGGTCCAGGAAAGGAAGACCCCAGGTGAGGCTTTACCTTTTCAAACAGACTAGCACCTGAGTCCCCTTTTCTACCATTCAACCAGCACTATGTGCATTAGTTACACTTAAACTCTCAGAACGATTCCAGCCACAATCGGGTGTATGCCAGCCTTGGCCTACCCCAACTTTGATCCTGGAGTCTGCCCAATAGCCCCAAGATCCACCCTGATCCCTGAACTCTCTGACCTCTGTGCTGGTGTCTCTTCCTGACCCCTCTCCACCCCACCCATCCAAGCTTCTCACCGTCTTCCCAGGAGAAGCGGTAAAAGTCCTCCAATTTGGGTGACTCGGGCAGATGGGTGCCCCTTTCGGGGTCATAGCCGATGTTCTCTGCCTGCCGCCGGGCATGCCGCAGGATGGCCCCTCCTAGGTCCCGCAGGCGGACAGCTGCTCGGTGGAAAATTGTGTCTTTAGCATTATACTTCATGCAGTTGGTAACTATAAGGTTAAAGTCCTCCTCAAACTCCTCCAAGGTGCGGTACAGGTGGGACTCCAGCTTCCGCCTCATAGTAGAAAAATCCATTGGCTTGGATATGAATTCCAGGTAATCTGGAACCTAAACATATAAAACCTGTACAATTACAACAACCATTTACTAGCCAAACAGGATGCACCCTTCACCGGCACTCTTGGCCTCCCCATTTTGGTCACGTCAGGCTTACTCAAAGCCCCAGGGCCCTGGCCCACCCTAGTCTGCTCCCTGGGACACTACCACTCACCCCTCATCACAGGTATTGTAGCCTTGTCAGGCTGCCCCAGGTGTGTACACTTTATGGCCCAATCCCCTCTTGGCCTACTCAGAACCTGTTTCCTGTTCAGGGAGAAGTGGGAAGGAACTTGCCTCACTGAGGTTGACAGGTTCAGCGAAGATGTGTGCGGGATCCTTCTCCTGCAGCAGGTCCAATGTTGTCCTCAGCAGAACGTTGAATGGCACCAATTCCAGCTCCATGGCAGCCTGCTGGACCTTGACCTGTGGATGAGGTGGGAAAAGGTCAGGAAACCCCTGCAAAGAGGCACTGAAACATTTTCTTAATAACTTGACTTTGACGCATTATGTACAACTAATTTTCTCAGGATATTAAGTTTACCAGGATGTGTGGAGCTATCGATCACTCAGTTCATACAGTCTAGGAAGCATCAATTTTGTGAATGTGTCCTATGTATAAAGCACTAGACCAAAACTTGCAGTAATTATAATAGTTAGGATTTTATTAGCTATTATCATTAGCACTTTTACAGTACTCTCAGGCATTTTCTCAGCATTTTATATATAATTAACTACTTTGATCCTCATAATAACTGAGGTAAATATAGATAAAGTATTGTACACACAGAATACTGAGATATAAAGAGACTAAGTTACTAGTTGGTCACTTAGCTAGAAAAGAACAGAGTCACAATTTGAACCCAGATCTGACTGAATCCAAAGAACACAGAATTGACCTAAAAAGTCTCCTGGACCAGAATTTCTCACCCAGTGTGCTGGTATTGATCCCACCAGCCTTTGAATTGTCTGGGTCAGCCAGGTGTGACGAGTGCCTCTAGGCGTACCACCTTAGGTGACATGCAACCTCATTTAGTTACACCAGCTCACTGAACAGATGTTATTTTCTATGTGTGCCCCGATGTGAAATGGTTGGAAAACCATAAACCAGACCATGAGATGTTCCTGCCTAGGTTACATCCAAACAGGCCTGCCTGCTTCTACGGGGAATAAAGCCAGCCTCCCTCTCCCTCTCATTTCTCTGAACCAGAGGCAGGAGGAGACGTTCAGCTGTGGGTCAGACTTTGGATGGCACTAAGTTTGAACCTGGGAAGGAGGTTCTAAGAAGTTCTCCATGGCCACCCACACAAAGTATGGTAAGAGGTGCCCAGGTTCAGAGGTGGAAACTCAGGCTACAGATCTGAGAGAGAGAATAGCTCATACTGGGCCTAAACAGCTAAGCGGGCTTTGGAGAAAGAGAAAGGAGCATTGCTAACCCAGAATGGGAGTAGCAGCTGCTATTTCTCTAGACTAGAAGAGTTCGGGCTTTATTCATTCAACTAATAGTATTTACTCTCTGTCATATGTAGAGTGCTGAGATAAGTGGGGATGATGATGATGACAGTAACTAACAAGTCGGTTCTGACTCACAGCAACACTGTATAGTTTCTAAGGAGCAGCTGGTGGGTTTGAACTGCCGACCTTATGGTTAGCAGACCAGTGTTTATCTGCCTGTAGAGAAACTGAAAATGTATATAACTCAAGACACTAAATGTTAAAGAGACTGCTGAGAATCCTTAGAAGCTGACATGCCAGAAGTTCTGAATAGGTGATACCTATCAGGGTCAGCAGTTTGAAACTACCAGCTGTTCCATGGGAGATAGATGAGGCGTTCTGCTCCCGTAAAGATTTACAGCCTTGGAAACCCTGAACAGGGTCGCTATGAGTCGGAACCAACTCCATGGCACATAACCACCACCACCATCAGAATGGGCCAGGAAGCTTCTCAAAGTAATCATGGCCAGGCTCAACCCTGCATCAGAAACTCCAGGGATGAGCCCAGGCATATGAGATTTGGCTTATGCTTGGGGCCACCAGAAGCTTCAGCCCAAATGTTGGGAGCCGTCAGCAGCATCATACCCAATGCAGAGCAGGCAAGTTGGAGAGCCCACAGTGTTGGGCAAGAGAGCAGATTAAAGCTGACTCTTGACAGGGGCTCCTGGCTGGCTCCATGCCACATGGGCAATGGGAGAAAGAGACCTTGATCAAGAGCCAGGGGTCAGGGGTCCTCCTTACCTGCTCCCGCTTGAGCTTCTCTCTCTTCCGAATTAGCTCAATCAGCAGCCGTGCCCGCTCCAAGTCATGCCGGAGCTTCTGCCAGTATTTCAGCTCCTCCTTCACTGCACTTGTCTTCTCGTCCTGCTCTCGCTGCAGGAGAGCCAGGGAAGGAGGAGCTGGGGCCTCCTTCCTGTTCAAGCCTCACAAGGCCTTGGCAGGTAAGAGCCCCATCCCCTTCCTTGACTGTCCACCTTCTCCAAGAGACCCCGTACCTCCCTCTTGCTTTATAACAATGTTTCCTCATGGCCACACAATAAGGATGGCTGGAATGGAAACTGAGAGTGCTTCCTTTACCCTTGGGACACCAGATAGCAGCTGTGTCCCACAGGGCTGGAAAGAATTTCAGAAAGAAACTAATAGCCACCTCAAGGGTGGGAAGAATTTCACCCTAGGGCTATGACTTGGCTAGAAAACAAAAGGAGGTTCTTACTATAAGCTGGTACTAAGTGGCTTGAGAGTACTTTGGTAACAACAGCAATAAATTTGACTCCTGTCCTGGAAGAAGTTACAGGGTATCTGGGAGAAGGAGAAGACCCAGCTTTTGAAACACAAGGGCATATTAGCATGAAAACAACAAAAACTGACAATACTAATGCTGAGGCGAAAGAAAATAGAGAATTTCAATGGGGTGGGGTTGGAGGATAGGCCAGAGAATTCTTTCTAAGGGTAGCAATCCTATTCAGGTTTCACAGTGAGAGATGGATACACAGAGCAGTAAGGAAGCCTCTTCTAGAACAGACTGGACCACAGGGTCAGAGGCATGGAAGCAGAATTGGTAATTCTTTGTTTGGTGAGCAAAACCACTGACCACAGGAGAGGCTAGAGATTCACAAAAGCCAACGAAGGTCAGTCCAGGATCCAGCTGACAAGAAACCTCAGATGACAGGGAAAAGAACCTGGACCTGGTCTGCCTGGAGAACCAAATTCATTGTTGTCTCAAGTTGATTCTGGTTCATAGTGACCCTACTAGACAGACTAGAAAGGCCCCATAGGGTATCCAAGGCTATTAACCTAACAAGTCTTTCTCCCACAGAGCGGCTGGTAGGTTACAATGGCCAACCATTCACTTGCAGTCAGGTGCTATAACTACTGCACCACTGGGGCTCCTCCTGCCTGGAGAAGAAGAGTACATTCTTGGAAAGGAAGTGCCAGAGTGGAAAACAGTGTGAGTAAGAAAGAATTAGAGGTTGGAGATCACCTAGAAAGCTATTGCTAAGGGAACAACTGCTGTAAAAAGTTAAGTAAGGTTATCTGCTGAAAGAAACATTCTATAATGGTTACCAGGGGTGGGAAGGGAAAAATTATTCACTGGCTAGCGGGTAACAGACGTGTGTTACCTTGGGTGACAGGGCAGGCAATATACAAGAGGAAAACTGGCAGAGGGAAAATTAAGGTAGTGGAAGACGGGGAGGAGTGCAAGAGTTAAAGTGAAAAGGTGAAGAGATAAACAATGGCACATGGAGGGATTGCAATCACTGTAATGAAATGAAGTATATGATATGGGGAATGTGAGATTGAGGATCTATACTATAAACCTTCATTTTATTATCAATAAAAAGTTTTAAAAAATCAAAATAAAATTAAGGGGACATAGGTGAGCAAGGTAGTTGTAGAATGAAATAAAACCAAAACACCAAACCCATTACTGTTGAGTGGATTCTAACTCATGGCACTATGTGTATCACAGTAGTACTATGCTCCGTAGGGTTTTTGGGAATAAAGGACCATATATTGATAAATTTCCCAAAACAGTTTAAGGGATGATTGTTTGTGGCCCACTATGGAGGGAAGAATCGAAAGTTAACTCCATTAAAGTGGGAAAGATATGAGCTCAGGAGGGAGAAGATTCCATGACAATAATGGGGAAGTAAGTTTACTGAGGGGAAGGAAGATGCTGAACTCAGTTTCCAACATTTTTGCATTACAAATTTGCTTAAAGTGTCCCAGAGAGTCTGAGGGCAGAAAAAAAGAGGTGAGGATAAGAAAAAACAGCTGAAACTGCTGTCTATAGTTATTGAACACTATGAGAGTGGACACTATGAGGGCTAAAGGAGTATAAATGGACACTATGAGCAGAAAATGGTGTCACAGAGAGGCTCTTAGACAATGTGATCCATGGTGTCAAATCCAACCTAAAGGTCAACAAGGTGTAAGTCTTGCTAGAGTGGGAGTTGGTCGCTGTGCAGGCTGTGCCCTACAATTTAAGATTATAAATTTGTATATTATGAAGCATTTTTGGCAGGTAGCAGTATAGTCTTGAGGAAAGGGAGCCTTTTTCTAATTCATACAACATAACAGCCCAATGCTCATTCAACCCACCTCTTCTCTCTTTCTGCCACATCTAGAGGGTTTCCCCCATTGGTCTTGTCCTCCAGTCTTCCCTAGAATTCTCCCATCCTGAAAGGGCTGTTGTCCAGTGCTAAAGACTCTGAGCCCCACAGCAGCCTCAGCACCAACAGGCCATCTACAGTGCTGGAGACCATTTCTAGAGTAAACACCTAAAGGGGTGCTGATCCCTATAGGCCAAGGAAGGCTCTGTGGAGAGTCCAGGGAGGTATGCCAGCCATGCCCCAACTATCCTATCTCCCCTTCTTCACTCTCTGCCTCCCCTCCCTACCCTCACATCATGACTTTACCTACCTGCTCAGCATTCCTTTGAGACTGCAGGTGGGAGTGCAGGCGCCGGATGAGGGGGACACCGTTCCGTGCCTGTCGCTTCAACAGCCAGTAGTTGTGAAGTCGCTGCATGAACTGGTTTTTCCTCTGAAAGGAGAGACCACTACAGATCTTGTTCAACCTTGAGTAGAGGCACAGGGAAGTGAAAGAGAGGGTCAGTGGGCAGCCCAGTTTAGAGCCCATGCATCCTAGCCAGACCTTGATTCATTTTTGAACCATACAGAGGAAAGAAGAATAAAGTGGCCAAAAGCCTCACCTCAGAGAAAGGCTTGAAAAGGACAGTAACATTAAGCAGCTTAGATTTAGCATGAGGTATTTCACTTGCTTTTTTTACCTCCTGACTTATAGTCCTGATCCTTCAAAAAGAAAAAAAAAGAACCCTTCCTAAAAACTCTTGTTTTCTATGGTTCTTGACGCCTTAGTTCCAGGCACTGGTTATGAAATAGGGCTATGCCCCAGTGTCCTGACTCTCCTCTTGAAAAAGGCAGTCAAAGGGAACAGGAACTTGAGTGAACTTTGGTCACTATTTCCTGCCCTCTACAACTAAGGGTCCACAGACCAGGGGGGAATGCACAATCAAGCTGAAAGGACAGTCAGCAGGAATACATTTTCTACTTTCTGAGCTCAAATGCAATACTACTTTCTGAGCTCAAATGCAATCCCTTGGAGTAGTCTTGACTTTTGGATTTCCATAAAAAGTCTCAGCAGCAGGTGACTGAAACAAATGACCAAAAAAAAAAAAAAAATTGGATCTGAAAATGTGGCTCATTAAAGCACTCTAACAGAGAAGTCCAGATCTTGAGGTCAGGGTTTAAACCAGTAACACCTGGGCGAAGAGAAAGGAGTAGGATGAGAATTGAAAACTTATGATCTCTACCCTAACCCCCATACTGTAAGATGGGGAACATTAGTCCCAAGCTGCAAAAAATGGAAAGGTAGCCTGGGAACAGAGGCTGAAAAATTGTCAAAGTAACTAATGCAACTAATAAGATGATAAGAGTGGGTAGCATGTAAATCCTGGATTTTTTTGTGTGCCCAAAATGATTATCCACAGCTGTGATGCTCCTGGGATTAGTCCCTCCACCTTTTCTTTTCATCCCATTCCACTGAAATGGAGATAAGCTTGGTCAACCAAGAAGGTGAAGCCTAATGATGATGGGCATGTTGGGCTAGATCTACTTCCCTAGGCGTTGCTCCTCTCCAGTCAGGCAGTCTTGCCCCAAAGCCAAGCTTACATAATCAAGGCCTAGTTCTAGGCCTTTCCCCAAAGGATAGATTCTCCCACCAATGTCCATGCCAAGCACACCTGTCCAGATGCAGGCAGCCCCCTCCCTCTATAACCTCTTGGCCACGGAGGGCCCCAACAGCATTTGCGCAGGTAGGGAAAAGAATAATAACACAATAGCAGCAGCAGCAATAGCCACCATTTATTGAGCACTTACTATTTGCCAGGCACTGTGCTAAGTGCTTTACTTCTATTATCACAGTTTTTTCTTACAACAACCCTCCGAGGTAGGTTCATTCACATATAAACTAAGGCTCAGAGAGATTATGTAATTTGCTAAAGGTGTACAGGTAATTATACAAGTAGGGTTCAAAGCCAGTTCTGCCTAGGTTAGTCAGCTACTATGCTGGCCCCTCCAAGAAGCATCTAGAAGAGTAGACATGACACAAAAAAAAGTCTAGCGACTGAACATAACCACCACAGTAAGCATTGACCCACCATCCTCAGGAAAGAGGGTAGCGTAGAACAGTTTTGTGACTAGAAGACAAAATTGTAACCTGTTCCATACAACACTCTACTCTGTGTCTTCTCTCTAATCTGGCAAGTTTGGATGCTGTTCCTTTCAGTCAACTCATTCCTCACTACCCTCCAGAATGCCTTTCTCCTCACCTCTTACCAAGAGAGAAAGTCAGCAGGACAGAACTCAAAACCTCACGAGCTCCAGATTATAGTCCAGAGTCTGTTGCTTCCCACCTGGTCTCAGCCTTCAGAACAGGACTTGGCATATAATAAGTGCTTAATAAACATCTCGTTGAATGAATAAAGGCGTGAACAACTTTACCTCCTGTGGCCGCGATTTCTTCATCTGGGGGTGTGGGAGAAGGTGCAAGGACTACATTAGATGAATAATCTCCAAGAGTCCTTTCTGCTCTAACACTTTTATACCTTTTTATGAGTATCAAACTTACGATGAGCCTCCACTGGGAAAGTCTCCGTTTCTTGCCTCTCTTCCAAGCTCTAATCCTTCCAATAGGTCTTTACCTGTCTATGTTTAACCTATGAATATGGTCTTTCTACAGACTCAATGGGGGCCCAAGTGACTTAGTTACATAGCTAAAAAGTGAGTCTCATGTTTCTTAAGAGAAATAGCATGTCCTATTCCCACTCCTCCCCTAGAAAGTCTCATCACATCCTGGGCAGAGCTTTCTGGATAGCAGATAATGACCCCTTGAAGTAGCAGTTGTCAACCGGGAGTAGTTCCACCCCCTAGAGTTTTTGGAAACAGATGTGGAGAGGTTGCCCAACGATTGGTAATGTGGAAGGGGATACAACTGGCATTTACAGACAAAGATCAGTAATGCTAAACCTTTAGAAATCCATGGCATGATCCCTAACAATGAAGAATGATCCTGTCAAAATGCCACTAGTGCTCCTATTGAAATACTATCCTGTAATCTGTTTTATCTCAACTTAAATCAAAAGAAATTTATTATTCTGAGGACACAATCAAAATCACAAACTGGGACAGGCTAGTCCAGGGTTTAAGAAGAAGTCTGGAGCATAAAAGAAAACAGATATCCACCAACCATGCCTGAGGGAGAAAGTTTGGCCCAGGGCCAATGCCAGCCAGAGAAGACATCAGTACTTGGGGAGCCCTTCTGGGCAGGCTCACCTGTAGGTGGGGATCTGTGGTACAGTAACCATTGGGGCAGTGGAGGGTGTGTCCCGCCCTGCTTCCTCTGGTTCTTTCTTGATCTTTTGTTTCAAACTCAACTTGTTCTTCTTGGGCATTCCCTTAAGGGGGCTGCTCACCCCACCTTGGCCTTCTTCCTCTTCCTCTTCTGCCTCTTTCTCGTCTTCTTCCTCTTCCCCACTACCCTCCTTTAGTCCTTCTTCATCCCCAGCTTCACTGAGGCCTCCAGGGGAGTCACCCTTCCTCCTGGCAGTAGTGACCCCTGGTGGTGAGTGGGCCTCACAATAGGCTGTCTTGCGTACAGTGAAGATGGTGCCATTGAGGCCGGTCTCCCGCATGGGCTCAATCTTCATGAAGAGCCCGGCCCGCTGTGCACATGTCACATGGAAGGCCGTGTAGCAGTTCACCTTATGACACTGGATGGCTGCACCCAGCCCCTTCTGTTTGCAGATGTAGCAAGTTAGTTTCCAGCGGGCAGGTGGGATGTTTTCAATACCCTCGATGGGCTCCAGGAACACGGTGTTAGCAAAGCAGACTTCAGGGATCCAGATAGCACACACCACGTGCGCCCAGTGCCCATCACTGGTCTGTTTGAAGGCACCGCCCTTGTTGGGGCAGAGGACGCAATCCACAGGCCGAGAGGGAGACTGTAGACAGCAGCGGCAAAGCCACTGGCCCTCGGGGATATAGGGAACACCATAGCACTCCTGGTGAACAGCCAGGTTGCAAATGTCACAGAAGAGAATGACATTGCTGTTGTGACATTCATCATCTAGACACACACAACAGAAGGCATCTTCATCTATGAGTGACTGCTGGGCCCCACTGCTGCGACTCTCCAAGTATGACTCCTTCTCAAGTCGGTCCACCAACAGCTCAAAGGTGTCTGCTGACACCAAACTGTGCCCATCTACTCGCCTCTTCTCATTCACCATATCTAACCAGGCAAGGTCTTCCTCATCCATGTCGTACTCTACTTCTGCATCTAGGTCTTCAGGTGGCTTCTCAATGTAGCGGTAATAGGCAGCAGGCAGAGGAGGAGCTTCTGGTTGGCTGGCTGAGTCCACCATGCGGAAGCTGGGCTGTGGGAGGTGGAAGGATGTGCCAGAAGCATGCTTGGAGCAGGACTCCTTCTTCTTGCCTTTGGATAAGGGTTTCTTGGACTTGCCGGGGAACTGGGGCTGCTCGCTGTTTTCCTTGTTACTGTTACATTCAGTGATATCCTGAGCAGTCAGCTCATCCTCCGTGATGATCTTGAGTGGGTCATAGATGCTAATGCGATGCAGGCGCCCGTCAATGTCCACCTCAACGATCCGTTGGGCCTGGGCATAAGTCAGGGTCTCGCGAGTAGGTGAGCACTTGAGACTGTAAGGGGATGGGGAGCGCCGGCCCTCGGCATTCTGCCGCGATTTCTTGCGCGGCTTCCTCATGGCACCTGGGAACCAAAAGGACACACCTAAGGAAAGAAAGCCAGGAGACTATGAGCTGGATGTTCATGCCTGCACATATTCATTCACCCTTCCATAAGACTGAATGAACACCGAGAAGACTGGCTGCACGCATTCTCTGAACAACCTGCCCTGCAGACATCCACATGGCTTGCTCCTTCCAAATCCTTCCATAAGTATCATTTCTAAGTGACACCTTTTCCGACTATTTAAAAGTATAAATCCCTCCCTCTCACTAGCAACCCACCTTTTATCCTGTTTTATTTCCACCGAAACACCACCTTCTGTTGTACTTTGCCTATTTAGTGTGTTTACTGTTTGCTGCTTTCTTCCACTAGACTGTAAGCTCCATGAGAGCACTGATTTTTGCCTGTCTTGTTCACAGGCTTATATTCTGGATGCCTGGCTCAAAAATAAGCACTCAGCAAGTACTGTCTGAATTAAAGGAGAAATCAAACACAAATGATCCCTGCCAGCCTTGATAGTATAGTGGTTAGCTTAGCTGCCTTCCACATTACCCCTACCCTCTCTGAAAGCTCTCTAACTGTGGGGAAGAAGATGCAAACAGATCATGATAATGCAATGGGGAGAAATCTGTTTTTATGATGTACATAGTTCTGGTATGGTGTTGTGGGATAAGCACCGAACTGCTAACCACAAGGTCAGTGGTTCAAACCTACCAGTCGCTCTTCAGAAAGCCTGTATGGTGGCTATGAGTCGGAACTGACCGGATGGCACCTAACAACAATGACGTATACATGGAAGACAGTGGTGGTTCAATGGTAGAATTCTTGTCATCTGTGCTGAGGACCTGGTTCAATTCCCAACCCATTCAATTCAAGTGCAGCTACTACTTGTCTTCCAGTGGAGGTCTATGTGTTGCTATGAAACTGAAAATCAAACCCATTGTTTTGAGTCCATTCCCATTATAAATCTTTATGGAAGTAGAAAGCCTCATCTTTCTCCTATGAAGCAGCTGGTGGGTTTGAACCACCAACCTTGGGGTTAGCAGCCCAATGCCTAACCCACAGCACCACCAAGGCTCCTTAACCCAAGATTAGTATGTGATAAAGGCTACAATTCAAACTCAGATCATCTGATCTCAACTCCTCACACAATAAAGTAAGAACACCACAAATATGCCATGGTGTGGTACAAAAAGAGGTCTGGGGGTAATCAAGATTCTACTCTTGGCCTTATTTGACTTAGTCAAAGTCTTTTAATCTCTTTGTGTCTCTATACTCCATTAGTAAAATGAGGGTAAACTTCTTACAGACTGCTATTACTAATATCCTTATTCAGAAAGCCTTCCAATTCCAACATGTGCCTGAGTCCAAAAAAAATTGGCCAAGGTACAGTGCCAAACAGGCACACACCCCAGTTTGAGCCAAAGGAAACAGAATCATCACAGCAATTCTGTCTGGGTTCCAGAGGCCCTTGGTCACCAGATGTCTTGTAAATGCCAAGTTCCTGGGGCAGCCCTGGCCAACAGACCTGCTTTACTGCTCCCACCCCTCAAGGGCATGGATACCCTGGTAGTGGTGGTGGTTGTGTGCCCACAAGGTGGGATTCAGAGTAACTCTAGAGAGGGTTTCTGAGGCTGTAAATCTTTGCTGTTGTTAAATGCCATCATTTAATAGGATCCATCTCATAGCAATTCTGTATAGAGTTTCCAAGGTGGGTTTGATCCACTGACCTGTGGTTCGCAGTCCAGTGCTTATCCTATAGCGCCACACCAGGAGTCCATAAGTCTCACCTTTCTCCCAGTTAGGCTGGTAAATTCAATCTGCTGACCTTGCAGTTAGCAGTCCAACTCATTGCCCCCTAAGCTACTAGAGCTTCTATGGAGACCCTGTTGTGGTTGTTAAGTGCCACTGAGTTGGTTCCAACCCATAGCGACCCTGCATAGGGTTTCTGAGGAGCAGCTGGTGAGCTTGAACCACCAACCCTGCGGTTCAAACTGACTTTGCATTCCAGCTCATTAATCCACAGCACCACACCATAAGTGCTGTAAAATTGTTCTGACTCAGTTACAAGGTTTCCTAGGCTTTAAATCTTTGTGGGAGCAGAAAGCCTCATCTTTCTCCCACTGAGAGGCTGGCGGGCTGGAACTGAGGACACTGTGATTATTACCGCTGAATGCCAGCAAGCCAATTCCAACTCATAGCGCCCCAGTACAGGGTTTGTAGGAGCGGCTGGGGAGTTTGAACTGCCGATCTTGCAGTCTGGTGCTGAGCCTACAACTACAAAGAAGGTGTGCAAAATCTATCACAATCCCAAAGAGACAATTACAGACAGCCGAGAGTGCTGCCCTTTCCTTCACTAAAGCAACTCCATCTTTTTACTTAACACCTGCGACACTGTTGGATCAGCACTGGACTGCCAAGCACAAAGTCGGTGGTTCAAACCCACCCGCCACTCCTTGGAAACCCTATACAGGGTCGCCGAGTCGGACCCCGCTTGACAGCACTAAATACCACCACAACCTCTTCAGCAGCACTCGCAACCAAGTAGCATCTATAGAGACTTTTTCCTTTCAACCGAAACGTCTAGACGCTGCGGGGCAAATTCGGGAGGGAGGAGAGCTACTGCTGAGGGAAATGAAATGTCTCCCCCTCATGGCGCTTACAGTCTAGACGGAGTTTTTGGCGGGATTTTCTCATCCTTCACCGGCTCCATACACACCTCAAAAATTCTCCAACCACCCCAGTGGTCTTCTCGACACCCCACCCGCTAGGCACCCACTAGCCCACCCCACCGCAGTCCCAGAGGAACGAGGAGTTGGATCTGCAAATAGACTGTACCCTCTGTACCCCACACAAGATACTCATTAAGCAGTAGAGGACCCCAGCCGAGGCTCCTGCCTCTTTAAGGGGACACCTCTTCCAGAAGAATCTTGACCCCTCGGAGCAGGAAAAAGGAGAAAAATAAAATTTCCTCCTCAGAGAGGAGGAGGCAAGCGCGCCAGAGACCTACTGACGCGGAGTCCGACCCACAGACAGAGAATGCGAGCGCCAGCGAACGAGCGGGGTAGAGAGGAGAGGGCCTATTGGCCAACACATCTGCCAGTCAGGGAGACCCAGGGGACCAAGGGGTGCACGGGCGGCGGGACTCTCTTCTGTTCTAGCCAATCGAGGAGCGTGGCGGGGGCGGGGCTCGGCAGCTCAGCTTCCAGAGCCGGGGGGAGACAAGATGGCGGCTGCGGGAGGGGGTCCCTGCTTCTTAGCTCCCCCCTCAACCGCGATCTCCTTCCCCGCTGCCACCCCCGCCCCGGGGGAGAGCTTTCGTGCTGCCCCCACCCCGCTCAAGAAGCTTCCTCTTCCCCCGGGACCCCCCCGCCATGCAGTCCCTGGTCCCCGAAAACCCGCTGCCCCCACCCCCGCTCGGGCCGGCCCCGCAGCCACCCCATTACCTCAGCCACCGGCCCGGCCCCACAGCTCGGGGCCCCTGGGCGCGGGCGGGCCA